GGGTTTCACCATGTTGACCAGGATGGTCTCGATCTCTTGACCTTATGATCCACCCGCCTCGGCCTCCCAAAGTGCTGGGATTACAGGCTTGAGCCACCGCGCCCGGCCCATACTGGTTTTTAAAAAGATGAAATCATATAAATGCCTGAAATTTGCTTCAAAATAACCTGGAAAAGATGGTCAAATAGTGAGACAGATAACAAAAATCGAGCAAATAATGGAATCACTGATGCAGGATGATGAGTACATATAATTAGTTATTCTATTCTCTCTACTTTAGAATATGATTGCAATTCCCATACTTAAAATTTCTCTTGGCCAGGTGCAGTGGCTTACGCCTGTAATCTCAGCACTTTGGGAGCTGAGGCAGGCGGATCACCTGAGGTCAGGAGTTTGAGACCAACCTGGCCAACATGGCGAAACCCTGTCTCTACTAAAAATACACAAATTAGCTGGGTATGGTGGCAGGTGCCTGTCGTCCCAGCTTCTCGGTAGGCTGAGGTAGGAGAATCACTTGAAGCCAGGAGGCGGAGGTTGCAGTGAGCCAAGATCACGCCACTGTACTGTAGTCTGGGCAACAAAGCAAGACTCTGTCTTAAAAAAAAAAATTTTTAAAGGCAACTATATATAATTTAAAAAGACTTATATTCCATCTTTATATTTTAGAGATACAATTGAAATATTTTACCTGAGATTTGTTCTCAGGTAAATAAGTGGAAGAAGAGTAGTAGAGGGCACAGATGGGAATATTGGCCATGAAGCTAGGCATTGGATTAATGGGATTTCTTATGCTATTTTTTCTATTTCTGTATATGTTTGAAATTTTCAATAATAGTTTTTTTAAAGGCTACAGGCCTGGATGCAATGGCTCATGCCTGTAATCCCAGCCCTTTCAGAGGATTACTGCAGGCCAGGAGTTTGAGACAGGCTGAGTAACATAGTGAGACCCCATCTATGCAAAGGCTATATATAAAAATTAGGCTGGGGCCAGGCACAGTGGCTCACGCCTGTAATCTCAGCACTATGGGAGGCTGAGGAGGGCGGATTACCTGAGATTAGGAGTTTGAGACCAGACTGGCCAACATAGTGAAACCCTGTCTCTATTAAAAATACAAAAAATTAGCCGGGCATGGTAGTGAACGCCTGTAATCCCAGCTACTGGGGAGTCTGAGGCAGGAAAATTGCTTGAACCTGGGAGGTGGAGGTTGCAGTGACCCAAGAACATGCCATTGCGCTCCAACCTGGGCAACAAGAGCAAAACTCTAT